TGTGGTGCATTTGGATTCTCCCCTTGTACTGGATTGTTAAAGGAACCTTGAAATTCTTCCTTCTGTCATCAACCCCCAAAGAGTGTTTGCCACAGCTTGGCTGGAGAGCAGGAATGCATTCAAAGGCAAGAGTTAAGTCCTATTGGATGCTGTCTGCAGCAAACTAGAGTAAACCTGATGTAAAAAGTCACTTTTTGGGTGTCTCTGACAAGGTTTAAAAGCTTAAATCCATAAAGGTAATGGGTAGGATGGTGCTGAGGTGGTGGTGGCTGCGCCACGTCTGTGTGATCCAATGGATCCTGCCCATCTCTGGTCCGGTTTTCCCAACCAGGCAGCTGTTGTCTGGGTTGTCTCCCATCTTTGTGCTCATGACACAGGATTGAAATGAAAAGCCACTTCTGTTTTTAACTTCCTTTTGTTGCTGTTGCAGTGGAAGATAGATGACAAGCCAGTGAAAATTGACAAATGGGACGGTTCAGCTGTGAAAAATTCCTTGGATGATTCTGCCAAAAAGGTAATGCCTGTAACCCCTGATCATTGAATCATGGAAAGGGTTGGGTTGGAAAGGACCATAAGATCATCCAGCTCCAGCCCCATGCCACAGGCAGGGACCCCTTCCACCGGAGCAGCTTGCTCCAAGCCCCTGTGTCCAACCTGGCCTTGAACACTGCCAGGGATGGGGCAGCCACAGCTTCTCTGGGCACCCTGTGCCAGCGCCTCAGCACCCTCCCAGGGAAGAGCTTCTGCCTTATCTCCAACCTGAACTTCCCCTGTTTCAGTCTGAACCCGTTACCCCTTGTCCTATCACTCCAATCCCTAATGAAGAGTCCCTCCCCAGCATCCCTATAGGCCCCCTTCACACACTGGAAGCTGCTCTGAGGTCTCCACGCAGCTTCTCTTCTCCAGGCTCAACAGCCCCAATGTTCTCAGCCTGGCTCCATACAGGAGCTGCTCCAGCCCTTGCTCATCCTTGTGGCTTCCTCTGGACTTGCTCCAACAGCTCCATGTCCTTATGTTGAGGACCCCAGAACTGCACCCAGTGCTGCAAGTGGGGCCTCACGAGAGCAGAGCAGAGAGGCAGGATCACCTCCTTTGGCCACGCTTGATGCTGATACTAATTTTGCATCAAGCTGCTGCTCATTTTATCCATGTAATTGAGTCTGGTTTACCTAAATCCATTCCAGAAGCAGTTTATCCCATTTCTGAGAAGCACAAAACAATCTCAGCTCTGTGTTTCTCCCTCAGGTTCTCCTCGAGAAGTACAAGTACGTCGAAAACTTCCGCCTGATCGACGGCCGCCTCATCATCTGCACAATCTCGTGTCTCTTTGCCATTGTAGCTTTGATTTGGGACTACCTGCATCCCTTTCCTGAATCCAAACCTGTTCTTGCCTTTTGTGTTGTATCATATCCTTTGCAGATGTTCGCATTTATACCAAAAAGGGTTTCTTTTCCCCACAAAGCACAAAAACCTTTTTTCTCTGTATTCCCAGTTTCAGGCCTGGGGGAATTTTACTTTGCATGGTGTGGAGATCAGCTGATAATCAAATAGCTTCCATGTGATGGCAAAATTCCTGCCTGTCTGGGTGTGACACAGTGAAATCTGGGAGATAATGTGGGTCCAGCCTTGCAGCATGGCTCACATCAGAGAGGTCACAGCTCCTGGGCAGCTGATCGGCTCTCCGGACCTCAGACACAGACCTTGTGGAGACTGCTCCACTTCGATGTGTTAATCCCAAAATGAAGATCAGCTATTGAAAGCTTCAGGGGGTTGTTTTGGGGTTGATTTTGTATTTATTCTGTCTGTAGTCTGGTTACAGGGGGGATATCTGCTCTTTACCTATGCAACACATCAGGTACGAGCGTGCAAAGTGAAGCTTCTCTGGGCGCCCTGTGCCAGCGCCTCAGCACCCTCCCAGGGAAGAGCTTCTGCCTAAGAGCTCAGCTCAGTCTCCCCTCGGGCAGGTTAAAGCCATTCCCCTTGGCCTGGCCCTACAGGTCCTTGTCCCAAGCCCCTCTCCAGCTTTCCTGCAGCCCCTTCAGGCACTGGAGCTGCTCTCAGGTCTCCCCTTCAGGAGCCTTCTCTTCTCCAGGCTGCCCCAGCCCAGCTCTCTCAGCCTGGCTCCAGAGCAGAGCTGCTCCAGCCCTTGCAGCAGCTCCATGGCCTCCTCTGGCCTCGCTCCAGCAGCTCCACATCCCTCTTGTGTTGGGGGCAATGGCAAAGGTGGATGAAAATCTCCCAGTGAGTATTTAATTTCTCATGTTCATGAGGAACTGGCATGTTTGGAGCGATGGTATCATGGGAGGTGGTTAAATGCTGGTGTCTGAGGGGATCCAACCAATTTCTCTGCCATATTTCTGCTTCCAATTGCAGCTCCTTAGTTTCCTTAAGTTACCTTTGCACATACTTTGTGATGATGGGAATCCTCACCATCTATACCTCATATAAAGAAAAGAGCATTTTCCTTGTAGCTCACAGAAAAGACCCCGCGGGGATGGATCCTGACGACGTTTGGCAGCTCTCCTCCAGTCTCAAACGGTATCTTGGGATTAGTGGGAATGGGGTACCAGCATGGCTTTGGGGTTGCCTGTGCTTCCATGGGCAGCAAAGCTGTGTTTTGGGAAGGGAATGAAGTGAAAATGAAGGGAAAATATTGGTGTTTGTGGAGTGGGGATGTAGGCTTTCCACAAAGGAATGGTGACCAAGTCATGATCTTTGGTGGCTTTCCAGGCAGTTTCATAGGATCCTGGACTGGTTTGGGTTGAAGGAACCTTAAAGCTCCTCCAGCTCCAACCCCTGCCACAGGCAGGGACCCCTTCCACTAGAGCAGCTTGCTCCAAGCCCCTGTGTCCAACCTGGCCTTGAGCACTGCCAGGGATGGGGCAGCCACAGCTTCTCTGGGCACCCTGTGCCAGCGCCTCAGCACCCTCCCAGGGAAGAGCTTCTGCCTTATCTCCAACTTGAACTTCCCCTGTTTCAGTCTGAACCCATCACCCCTTGTCCTGTCACTGCAGTCCCTGATGAAGAGTCCCTCTCCAGCATCCTTGTAGCCCCGTTCAGTTACTGCAGGGCTGGATTAGTGATTAATATTCACCAGAGGATATTATCACAGGGAAGCACCAAATGTGCGTGTGGAGGAGATAACTGTGAGGAGTATTTAACCTTTAATTGTGTTACCATTAACACCCACATGCTGCAGCTCTTAGTGCCCATGTGGGAACCTCCACCCTGGGAGCTTCCCCCTTAGTAAAGATGAGGATTTCTCCTCACAGAATCATGGAATCAATGAGGTTGGAAAAGCCCTTTCAGCTCACCCAGTCCAACCATTCCCAGCCCTGCCAAGGCCACCTCTGCCCCATGGCACTGAGGCCTCATCTCCACGGGGTGTGAACCCTTGCAGGGCCGGTGCCTGCAGCCCTGCCCTGGGCAGCCTGTTCCAATGCCTGAGCACCCTCTGGGGCAGGAATTGTTCCTCAGCTCCACTTAAACCTCATCTTCTTGCTGTTGTCTCAGCAAAGCCAGGCTCAAGCTGTGCTTTCCCTGGCGCTGCAGGTTTGATGACAAATACACCCTGAAGGTGACGTTCATCAGCGGCAGAACCAAGCAGCAGAGGGAAGCCGAGTTCACCAAATCCATTGCCAAGTTCTTCGATACCAACGGCACGTTGGTGATGGAGGCCTACGAGCCCGAGGTATCCAAGCTGCACGACAGCCTGGCCATGGAGAGGAAAATCAAGTGAGCGGGATGCTGCTGGGAATGTGCTCAGTGAACACCAATAAAGCAACATGGCCAGAGGGAATCGTGTTTGTCCTGAACCCCTGAACTGTTCTGCATGAGTTCGGAGCCTTTATATCATATCCAGAGTTATCTCTCTTGGATTGGAATCCGTGATTATAATCTCGAAGCCAGGCTTTTTAAAGTCAAATCTCGGATGGTTTTCATCCTGAATTCGGGATTTATATTCTCAAATCCAGGATTTTTTCAGTCTTGACTCCTGGATTTTTCATCTTGAGTCCTGGATTTTTCACCCTGAATCCCAGATTTTTTTTAACCTTGAATCCAGGATTATCAGATCTCATTCTTGTATCCAGTATTTTTATTATCAGATCCCAGATTTTTTAATCCTGAGCTCAGGATCTTCTTGAAGCCTGCATTTTTCCATCTTAAAATGCAGGGTTATTAATCTCAAATCCCAGATTTTTTAGTATCAAATTCAGCATATTTAATCTCAAATCCAGGGTAATCTTAAATCTCAGATTTTTCATCTCATATTCTTGATTTTTTTTTTTTTTCAGTCTAGAATCCCGAGATTTTTAATCTGTAATCCAAGATTATCAGTCTCAGATCCCATGCTCCTGAATGCCAAGGGTTTTGATCTCAAATCCCAGGGTTTTGATCTCAAATCCCAGGGCTTTTAATCTCAAATCCAGCTTTATCCATCTCAAATCCTGGATTTTTAATCCCTGTTTTCAATCTTGAGTGCAGGATTTTTAGCCTTGAATCCCAGATTATTTGATGCTGATATCAAAGCATCCCCTCAGCCTCAACGCCCTTCCCGTGGGCAGTGCGTGAAGACTTCTCCACCAGGAGGCATCTCCCTCCCTCCCGTTTTAACCTCGCTGTGTGCGGAATGCTCCCACTTCCCTTTCCCATTAGGAATTGAGGACAAACACGGTTCCTGTATCCAGCTGGGAACAGAGGCTTGGTTTGTATAAACCCCTTCTATGCGATGGGGGGTGATGAAGCCGCTCCTTGCCTCTGCTCGACCCCGGAGCTTCCCCATACAGCCCCAGTGCGGCCGCTGCTCTGCCCGTTTGCCCCATCGCCGCCTCCCGTCCGCATCCCCGCTCCTGTAAACGGGCCCTTGCCGAAGGACACGGGTTTGGGGTGGTTTGGGTGCATTGAGTCAATAAACGGCCCCAGGGGCGCTGGACGGGTCCCGGAGCATCCCCGGAGCGTTCCGCGGCTCAAGCCGGGGGGGGAGCCCCGTGAAACGGCTCCAAAGGCAGCATCCACCCCCCGCGGCAACGGGCAGGAAGGGGCGGAACGGGGCGGAGCGGCCACGGCGGAGCGGAGGCTGCGGCTGGTGAGGAGCGGGGGGACATGGGGGGGTACGGGGGACATAGAGGGGTATAGGGGGTACAGGGGACATGGGGGGGTACCGGGGGTACAGGGGACTGGGGGGGTATAGGGGACATGGGGGGGTACAGGGGACATGGGGGGGTACCGGGGGTAGAGGGGACTGGGGGGTAGAGGGGACATGGGGGGGTACAGGGGACATGGGGGGGGTACTGGGGGTACAGGGGACTGGGGGGGTACAGGGGACATGGGGGGGTACAGGGGACATAGGGGGGGTATAGGGGTCAGGGGACATGGGGGGGGTAGAGGGGTATGGGGTGGGGGGGTATAGGGGGGGTACAGGGGACATGGGGGGGTACCGGGGACATAGAGGGGTATAGGGGGTACAGGGGACATGGGGGGGTACCGGGGACATAGAGGGGTATAGGGGGTACAGGGGACATGGGGGGGTACCGGGGACATAGAGGGGTATAGGGGGTACAGGGGACATGGGGGGGTACAGGGGACTGGGGGGGTACAGGGGACATGGGGGGGTACGGGGGACATAGAGGGGTATAGGGGGTACAGGGGATATGGGGAGGGTATATAGGGTACAGGAGACATGGGGGGGTACAGGGGACTGGGGGGTACAGGGGACATAGAGGGGTATAGGGGGTACAGGGGATATGGGGGAGTACAGGGGGTACAAGGGACATGGGGGGTACAGGGGACATGGGGGGTACAGGGGACATGGGGGATACAGGGGGTATAGGGGGCATGGGGGGGTACAGGGGGTACAAAGGACATGGGGGGGTACAGGGGACATGGGGGGGTACAGGGGACATAGAGGGTTATAGGGGGTACAGGGGATATGGGGAGGGTATATAGGGTACAGGGGAGATGGAGGGGTACAGGGGATATGGGGGGTACAGGGGGTACAAGGGACATGGGAGCGATCAGTGCATAGGGGGGTGTAGGGGAGCAGGGGGGAATCGGTGTGTGCTAAAGCTGGGTTATGGGGTTTAGGGGGAAGAAAGTATGGGGGGGTGTCAGGATATGGGGGTGCGGGGGGGTACTGGGAGGTTTGGGTCTGAGGGGGATTGGAGCATGAGGGATTTAGGGGTTCACAGGGGGGTGCATGGAGGAGTACGAAGGGGAAGGGGCCTCTGGGGGTGCAGGGGAGAGTTGGGCTGAGGGGTACAGGGGGGCCCGGGTGTTGGGGGGTATGAGGGGATCAGTGCATGTGGGGAGTCAGGCTATGGGGGTGCACGGGGGGGACATGGGGAGTCAGGCTGTGGGGGTGCAGGGGAAGGGTGCATGGGTGAGTCAGGCTATGGGGGTGCACGGGGGGGTACATGGATATGTATGGGATATAGGGGTGCAGGGTGGTAAATGGGTGAGTCAGGCAGGGGAAGGGTGGAATAGGGGGGTACAGTGAAATGGGGGGGATGATGGGGAGATTGGTGCATGTGAGGAGTTGGGCTGTAGGGGTGCACGGTGGGGAGTCGGGGGGGTACATGGGGGAGATGGGCTATGGGGGTACGTGGGGGGGTGGTCTGGGTATTGAGGATGGGGGGATCGTGCATGCAGGGGTGTGGGAGGGAGAGGACAGGGGGGTGCAGTGTGGGTGACCGGGTGACCCTCATGGGGTGATGCATGGTGAGGGGGGGTCCATGCATGCAGGGGTGGAGGGGATTTGGGTTGCAGTGACATGGGGGGGGGGGGGGACCAGGAGGGAGGGGTGCATGAGGGGACTGGGACATTGGGGGTGCATGGGGGGATTGGGGGTGCATGGGGGGATTGGGGGTGCATGGAGGGATTGGGACATTGGGGCCACAGGGACTCCAGGCTGGGGACACTGGGGGATGCTAAAGGGGATGGGAATGGGGGTTCCTGCAGGTGGGCCATGGGTGCTGGTTGGGGGGTAGTAGGGGAGCCCCACAGGGGCGCAGAGGGATGGGGAGGACAGCACTGTGTGACCCCACCGAGGGGCTTCACTCTCACCCCCCCCCTTCCACCTTCCACCCCACTCAGGGCCCAGTGAGGGCACCAGGGCATCACCATGTCCCAGCCCATCTCCTGCCCCAAGGTGAGCCCCATCCCCGCATCCCTGTCCTGGGGAACATCGGGGAGCCCCCCCTCCCCACTTTTACCCTCATTTAACCCTTCACACCTCAACTTCCCGCACTGCAGGAGCAGGGGGATGCCGCGGAGACCCCCCCCAAGCCAGCACCATTGGGATCCCCCCTTCTCTTCCCTCGGGAGACGCTGTTCCGGCAGGCAGGGGGGGTCACCTACCGCATCCCGGCGCTGCTCTACATCCCATCGGCCGCCACGTTCCTGGCCTTCGCCGAGAAGCGTTCCTCAGCCAGGGATGAGGATGCCAAGTACCTGGTGCTGCGGCGGGGCCGGCGGCACGGCCCCTCGGTGCAGGTAAAACCAGCCTGGGCTGCAGGAGCGAGTGGTGCTCTCCATCGCCGGGAGTGGTGGGTGGGGTTGGGGTGCATCCCATGGCTTGTATCCTGGGAATGCCCCATCGCTGGAAGGGTTCAAGGGCAGGTTGGATACAGGGGCTTGGAGCAAGCTGCTCCAGTGGAAGGGGTCCGGGCCCGTGGCAGGGGTTGGAGCTGGATGGGCTTTAAGGTCCTTTCCAAATCAACCATTCCAACCCCATGCAACGCTCCAGGTTTGGGGAATTGGGGATGGAAAAGGAGCTGGGGGTGCTGATGGATGGAGCTGAACGTGAGCAGCTTGTGCCCAGGCAGCCAGGGAGCCCCCAGCATCCTGGCCTGGATCAGCACCAGGGCGGCAGCAGGGCCAGGGCAGGGATTGTGCCCCTGCACTGGGCACTGGTGAGGCTGCACCTCGGATCCTGTGTTCAGCTCTGGGCCCCTCACTGCAAGAGAGACATTGAGGTGCTGGAGTGGGGCCAGAGAAGGGCAGCGGAGCTGGTGCAGGGCCTGGAGCCCAAGTGTGATGGGGAAGGGCTGAGGGACCTGGGGGGTTCAGTGTGGAGAAGAGAAGGCTCAGGGGGGACCTGATGGCTGCCTACAAGTGCCTGAGAGGAGGATGGAGCCAGGAGGGGCTGGGCTCTGCTCCCAAGGAACAAGGGATGGGACAAGAGGAACCGGCCTCAAGCTGCACCAGGGCAGGTTTAGATGGAGCTGAGGAACAATTCCTGCCCCAGAGGGTGCTCAGGCATTGGAACAGGCTGCCCAGGGCAGGGCTGCAGCCACCGGCCCTGCAAGTGCTCACACCCCATGGAGACGAGGCCTCAGTGCCATGGGGCAGTGGTGGCCTTGGCAGTGCTGGCGAACGCTTGGACTTAAAGGGCTTTTCCAACCTGGATGATTCCATGATTCTCTGTCCCCTCCTTTCCTTCCCGCAGTGGGGCCCAGTTCAGGACCTCTCCGCTCTGACCCTTCCCGGCCGCCGCACCATGAGCCCGTGTCCCCTGTACGACTCCAGGACCGGCACCACGTTCCTGTTCTGCATCTGCGTGGAGCGGGGCCGCTCGGAGCGGGGCCAGCTGTGGTGCGGCCGCAGCGCCGCCCGCCTCTGCTTCGCCACCAGCACCGACGGCGGCCGCGCCTGGAGCCCGCTGCGGGACGTGACGGATGAGGCCATCGGCACGGACCTGCCCCGTTGGGCCACGTTCGCCGTGGGGCCAGGCCACGGCATCCAGCTGGATTCGGGGCGCTTGGTGGTGCCGGCGTACGCCTACTACATCCACAGGCGGCTGTGCGGGCTCGTGCCGCTGCCCTGCTCCACGCGGCAGCATTCCCTGGTGTTTTACAGCGATGACAACGGTTGCCGCTGGCACAAAGGTGCCCTGCTCGGTGGCCGGCGCACGGGCGAGTGCCAAGTCGCCCAAATCCACGGGGATGATCCCGATGTTCCCGTGCTCTATTGCAGCGCTCGGGCGCCGCGCGGGTGCCGGGCCGTGGCGCTCAGCACCGACCTCGGGCTGCGCTTCCAGCCCCTGCTGCGGTGCCCGGTGCTGGCTGAGCCCCCACGGGGGTGCCAGGGCAGCGTCGTGAGCTTCCCCGCACCGCATCACACCGGCCCCGGCCCCGCGCCCGCCTGGCTGCTCTACTCCCATCCCATCGACCGGCACCGCCGCCGCGATCTGGGCCTCTACGTGAACCCCTCGCCGCTGGACCAGGACGGGTGGTGGCACCCATGGGTGCTGCGGGAGGGGCCGGCCGGGTACTCGGACCTGGCTGCGTGTCCCGGAGGGTTCTTTGGGTGCTTGTTTGAGTGCGGCGCTGAGAGCGCCTGGGAGGAAATCGCCTTCTGCCTCTTCAGCCTGGGCACGGGGAGCCGCGGCGAGCGGAGCAGCGGTGCCTCCTGAACGGAGCCGGCTCTCGGGGGCAGCATTCCCGAGCGCTGGATCCCTCCTGAACGGAGCCGGCTCTCGGGGGCAGCATTCCCGAGCGCTGGATCCCTCCTGAACGGAGCCGGCTCACAGGGGCAACGGAGCCGGCTCTCGGGGGCAGCATTCCCGAGCGCTGGATCCCAGGAGCAGCGGTGCCTCCTGAACGGAGCCGGCTCTCGGGGGCAGCATTCCCGAGCGCTGGATCCCGGCAGCAGCGGTGCCTCCTGAATGGAGCCGGCTCTCAGGGGCAGCATTCCCGAGCGCTGGATCCCTCCTGAACGGAGCCGGCTCTCGGGGGCAGCATTCCCGAGCGCTGGATCCCTCCTGAACGGAGCCGGCTCTCGGGAGCAGCATTCCCGAGCGCTGGATCCCGGCAGCAGCGGTGCCTCCTGAATGGAGCCGGCTCTCAGGGGCAGCATTCCCGAGCGCTGGATCCCTCCTGAACGGAGCCGGCTCTCAGGGGCAGCATTCCCGAGCGCTGGATCCCTCCTGAACGGAGCCGGCTCTCGGGGGCAGCATTCCCGAGCGCTGGATCCCTCCTGAACGGAGCCGGCTCTCAGGGGCAGCATTCCCGAGCGCTGGATCCCTCCTGAACGGAGCCGGCTCTCGGGGGCAGCATTCCCGAGCGCTGGATCCCGGGAGCAGCGGTGCCTCCTGAACGGAGCCGGCTCTCAGGGGCAGCATTCCCGAGCGCTGGATCCCAGGAGCAGCGGTGCCTCCTGAACGGAGCCGGCTCTCGGGGGCAGCATTCCCGAGCGCTGGATCCCTCCTGAACGGAGCCGGCTCTCAGGGGCAGCATTCCCGAGCGCTGGATCCCAGGAGCAGCGGTGCCTCCTGAACGGAGCCGGCTCTCGGGGGCAGCATTCCCGAGCGCTGGATCCCGGGAGCAGCGGGGCCGGGGCCTCACCGGGCCCTTGGGATGCGCAGCATCCAAGGAGAGCTTTTACCTCGTTACTAGTGAACGTTTGGCTTTTTAATCACCCAGCAAAGAGATGGGGGGGGTGTCAAGGGGATGCCTGGCTCCGGGAATGCTGCTGCTTCGTCAGGAATCCGGAGTTTTCCCCTGGGAGCAGCAAAAAGGCTGAAGGTGCCACCAAGAGCAGGCGGTTCCCTGGGGGAAGATGCCCGCAAGTGGTGGTTGCGTTGGAAATATCTCAATTCCCGTGTCCTTCCCGTGTGGCAGGGGGAGAATTCCCGGTTTTTACCGTTTTTAATCCCGTTCTATTCACTTTCCTTGTTCAGGCTGAGCTTTGTCCTGTATTCCCATGGGAAAAGCACTCGGATCTCTCTGGGGTGGTTTGTTCTGCTCCATAGGGACACGCTGTGGCATCCCAATGGTGACAGCGACCTCATGCCTCTGTGTTGCTGCCAAATAAAATCCTTCCCAAAGGGGTGAATCCAGCCAATATTGGGAAAATCCAATGGGATTTGACCCCGCTGGGGAAGGATGGGGATGCCCCCGAGCATCACCGCCTCCCGCCCCATCCCAGCGCTGCTGTTTGGACACCCAGCACAGGGGACATGGAGGGGACCCATGGGAAGGCAGGAAAGGGGTGGGAAGGGGATCAAGGAAAGCTGTGGGATTTGGGGACTTCTTGGGATGGGGAAGGAGGTTTGAGGGGGGAGTGATGGAGGATTGAGGGACATGGATGAGTTCTGGGGGTGTGGGATACGGTGGAGTGATGGGGATGTGGGATGTGGAGTCCAAGCCAGGATGGGGACAGGCAGGAAGGGAGAGATGAGAGAGGACAGGCAGGATGGAGGCAGGATGGGATGGGGACAGGAGCAGGCAAGACAGGGACAGGCAAGATGGGAACTGGATGAGATGGGGACAGGCAGGAGTCATCCAAGGTAGGATGGGGAGAGGAAGGACTGGGACAGGCAGCAGGGGATGGGCAGAATAGGGACAACGGGAGGGTTCAGGCAGGATGAGCTTGGGCAGGTTGGAGACAGAAGGGGATGGGGGGACAGGGACGGGCAGAATGGGTCCAAAGCAGGATGGGGACAGGCAAGAAGGGACAGGATGGGATGGGGACGGGGACAGGCAGCGAGCAGGAGGAGTCCAAGGTGGGAGAGGCAAGAGGGGACAGGCAGAATGGAGACAGGGATGGGCAGCGTAGGGACAGTCAGGATGAGTCCGAGGCAGGAGGGGGCAGCATGGGGACAGTCAGGAGTGGGACAGGGTGGGATAGGGTCAGGGACACTCAGCATGGGATGGGGACAGGGGTGGGCAGGATGGGATGGAGAGGGGATAGGCAGGATGAGTCCGAGGCAGAAGGGGGCAGGATGGAATAGGGTCAGGGATGCTCGGGATGGAGGCAGGATGGGATGGGAGCAGTCGGGATGGGGACAGTGAGGAGGGGGCAGGATGGAACAGAGTCAGGGACGTTCGGGATGGAGGCAGGATGGGATGGGAGCAGTCGGGATGGGGACAGGGATGGGCAGGAGGGGGCAGGATGGAACAGAGTCAGGGCCGTTCGGGATGGAGGCAGGATGGGATGGGAGCAGTCGGGATGGGGACAGGGACGGGCAGGATGGGATGGGAGCAGTCGGGATGGGGACAGGGACGGGCAGGATGGGATGGGGACAGTGAAGAGGGGGCAGGCCGGGATGGGGACCGGACAGTCCGGATGGGAGCCAGCAGCCCCCTCCCACCGCAGCCAGCGTGGCGGATCCGGGGCACCCCCCATTACCCTCCCCTTTACCCCCATTTCCCACCCCCGGGGCGGAGCCTTCCTGCTCCCCCGAGCGGTGGCTGCGGGGCCGATGCGGGCGCTGGGGCTCGGGGTGCTGCTGGCGCTGCTGCCGCCGCCCGCTCCGGCAGAGACCTTCAGCGCCATGAGGAGCGTGCGGGCGGCGATGGGCGCCGAGGGCCGCCTGCTCCGCCGGCTCCGAGCCTACCTGCGGGAGGAGAGCGCCCGCCTGCGCCGCCTGACCAGGTACCGGCACCTGGGGAGCATCCCTGTACGGTCCTGATCCCCACTGGGTGCAATGGGAGCATCCCTGTACGGTCCTGATCCTGTCCGGGTGCACAGGGAGCATCCCTGTACGGTCCTGATCCCCACTGGGTGCGATGGGAGCATCCCTGTACGGTCCTGATCCCCACTGGGTGCATGGGGAGCATCCCTGTGTGGCCCCGATCCCGACTGGGTGCACAGGGAGCATCCCTGTATGGTCCTGATCCCCGCTGGGTGCGATGGGAGCATCCCTGTACGGTCCTGATCCCCACTGGGTGCGATGGGAGCATCCCTGTACGGTCCTGATCCCCACTGGGTGCACGGGGAGCATCCCTGTATGGTCCTGATCCCCGCTGGGTGTGATGGGATCATCCCTGTGCGGTCCTGATCCCCGCTGGGTGCGATGGGAGCATCCCTGTACGGTCCTGATCCCCACTGGGTGCACGGGGAGCATCCCTGTGTGGCCCTGATCCCCACTGGGTGCACGGGGAGCATCCCTGTACGGTCCTGATCCCCACTGGGTGCGATGGGAGCATCCCTGTGCGGTCCTGATCCCCACTGGGTGCGATGGGAGCATCCCTGTGTGGTCCTGATCCCCGCTGGGTGCGATGGGAGCATCCCTGTACGGTCCTGATCCCCACTGGGTGCGATGGGAGCATCCCTGTGTGGTCCTGATCCCCACTGGGTGCGATGGGAGCATCCCTGTGTGGTCCTGATCCCCGCTGGGTGCGATGGGAGCATCCCTGTGTGGCCCCGATCCCGACTGGGTGCACAGGGAGCATCCCTGGGTCCCCCCCATCCCCACTGGGTGTGCTGGGACCATCTCAGTGTCCTCCTAACACAAGGGTGGGTGTGCTGGGAGCATCCCTGTATCCCCCCAGTCCCAATGGTGGGTGCTGCCTGGCAAGGAGGGGGTTTAACCCAGCTCAGACCCCTCCCACGCAGCACCCAATAAATAGGGGATGTGGGTGCCCACGTATCCCCACCTTGGCGGATGTGGTCATAGGGTCATGGGATGGTTTGGGTTCGGGTTGGATTGGGCAAGACCTTAAAGTTCCTCCAGCTCCAACCCCTGCCACGGGCAGGGACCCCTTCCACTGGAGCAGCTTGCTCCAAGCCCCTGTGTCCAGCCTGGCCTTGGCTGGGGTGACCCCAAATAGGGTGTGGGTGGATGGGGAAAGCTGCCTGTGCCCCCTGGCTATGTCCAAGCTGTGGGATGTGATCACCCCACGCCTTGGCTGAGGAGCAGGGATGTGGTCATGGCGCGGGACATCCCCGTGTCCCCACTAGGGATGGGGCTGACAAAGCAGATGGGGTCTCCTCCCCTCCGGCGTGCTCACAGTGTGGATGCTGGGTGTCTGCCCATGGCAGGGGTCGGAACCAGATGGGCTCCAAAGGTCCCTTCCAGCCCAAACCATCCCACGATCCTATGGAGTTTCCCAGCTATGGCGGGGCTCAGACCCCATTCCCTGCCCCGGGGCATCACTCGCAGTGTCACCCAGTGGGTGCCTTGTAGGTTCTATGAGAAGGTCCAGGCGCTGCACCAGGACCCGCAGGCCTCGGTGGACAACCCCTTGCTGGCCTTCGGCCTCATCAAGCGTCTCTACTCCGACTGGCCCAATGTCATCTACAGCGATGAGGCCGCCGAGAACACCCAGGGTATGGGGGGAGCTCCAGTGTGTGTCCCCACTGTCCCCTGGGGAGAGCCAGGAGGTGGTGGGGAGTGGATGGAGGAGCAGGGCAAGGGACGGAGGAGCAGGGCAAGGGACGGAGGAGCAGGGGAAGGGATGGAGGAGCAGGGGAAGGGATGGAGGAGCAGGGGAAGGGATGGAGGAGCAGGGGAAGGGATGGAGGAGCAGGGCAAGGGATGGAGGAGCAGGGGAAGGGATGGAGGAGCAGGGCAAGGGATGGAGGAGCAGGGGAAGGGATGGAGGAGCAGGGGAAGGGGTGGAGGAGCAGGGCAAGGGATGGAGGAGCAGGGGAAGGGATGGAGGAGCAGGGGAAGGGGTGGAGGAGCAGGGGAAGGGATGGAGGAGCAGGGGAAGGGATGGAGGAGCAGGGGAAGGGATGGAGGAGCAGGGGAAGGGATGGAGGAGCAGGGCAATGGATGGATGAAGGCAATGGATGGAGGAGCAGGGCAAGGGATGGAGGAGCAGGGCAATGGATGGAGGAGCAGGGCAATGGATGGAGGAGCAGGGCAATGGATGGAGGAGCAGGGCAATGGATGGATGAAGGCAATGGATGGAGGAGCAGGGCAATGGATGGAGGAGCAGGGCAAGGGATGGAGGAGCAGGGCAAGGGATGGAGGAGCAGGGCAATGGATGGAGGAGCAGGGGAAGGGATCGAGGAGCAGGGCAATGGATGGAGGAGCAGGGCAATGGATGGAGGAGCAGGGCAAGGGATGGAGGAGCAGGGGAAGGGATGGAGGAGCAGGGGAGGGGATGGAGGAGCAGGGGAAGGGATGGAGGAGCAGGGGAAGGGATGGAGGAGCAGGGGAGGGGATGGAGGAGCAGGGGAAGGGATGGAGGAGCAGGGGAAGGGGTGGAGGAGCAGGGGAAGGGATGGAGGAGCAGGGGAAGGGATGGAGGAGCAGGGGAAGGGATGGAGGAGCAGGGGAAGGGATGGAGGAGCAGGGGAAGGGATGGAGGAGCAGGGGAAGGGGTGGAGGAGCAGGGGAAGGGATGGAGGAGCAGGGGAAGGGATGGAGGAGCAGGGGAAGGGATGGAGGAGCAGGGGAAGGGATGGATGAAGGCAATGGATGGAGGAGCAGGGGAAGGGATGGAGGAGCAGGGCAATGGATGGATGAAGGCAATGGATGGAGGAGCAGGATGCAGACCCCCACGGATGAAGCAGCACCCATAAGGTCGATCCCACCCCCCCCAACCCCTCCCTCACGCCCCCGGCCCCGTTCCCTGCCCGCAGAGCTCCACGCTGGCTTCCAGGAGGTGGAGCAGGAGCTGCCGGGCGCCGAGGACCTGGACGGGGCTGCGCGGGCGCTGATGCGGCTGCAGGACGTGTACGGGCTCAGCGTCAAGGGCTTGGCCAACGGCGTCTTCCAGCGCGCAGGGGCCGCCCGCCCGCACCTCTACAGCCCCCGCCGGCGCGTGGCCCTCTCCGCCGACGACTGCTTCCATGTGGGAAAGGTGAGGGATTGCCCCACGGCCGCGGGTGTTCCATCCCGGAATGGCGCTTCCATAGGGACGGCTGTGGAGGGGACCCTCGGAGGCAGGCCCAAGGCATCCGCTCCCCGTAGAGGATGGGGGAATAATGGGGCTTCTCCTTGGTTCGTGGTGTGGGGAGGGAAGAGCTGGGCCGGGGCCCTCAGGGAGAGCTCCTGTCCCCGCGGCCTGGTTGGAGCTGGGATCAGCTCGAAGCCAGCGGTAAAAGTGGGTCCATGAATGCCAGGGGTGGGATGTGGGGGATCTCATCGAGGCTTCTGTTGGGGGCAGAGTCCTCTGAGTGTCACTGCAGAGCCGGGATGGAGGGGCAGTGTGGGGTGGGGTGGGATGGGATGGGATGGGATGGGATGGGATGGGAAGGGATGGGATGGGATGGGAAGGGATGGGATGGGATGGGAAGGGATGAGATGGGAAGGGATGGGATGGGATGGGATGGGATATGGATGGGATGGGATGGGATGGATGATGGGAATGGGATGGGATGGGAAGGGATGGGAAGGGAAGGGAAGGATGGGATGGGAAGGGATGAGATGGGAAGGGATGGATGGGATGGGATGGGATAGGGTGGGATGGGATGGATGGGAAGGGATGAGATGGGAAGGGATGGGAAGGGAAGGGATGGATGGGAAGGGATGGGAAGGGAAGGGAAGGGAAGGGAAGGGAAGGGAAGGGAAGGGAAGGGAAGGGAAGGGAAGGGATGGGATGGGAAGGGATGGGATGGGAAAGGGATGGGATGGGATGGGAAGGGAAGGGATGGGATGGGATTGGATGGGGTGGGATGGGGTTGGATGGGCAGCGGGATGGGGTTGGATGGGGATGGGATGGGGTGGGATGGGGATGGGATGGGGATGGGATGGGATGGGATGGGAAGGGATGGGATAGGGTGGGATGGGATGGGATGGGATGGGATGGGAAGGGAAGGGATGGGATGGGAAGGGATGGGATGGGAAGGGATGAGATGGGAAGGGATGGGATGGGATGGGAAGGGAACAGATGGGAAGTGATGGGATGGGATGGGAAGGGATGGGATGGGGTGGGAAGGGATGGGATAGGATGGGAAGGGAAGGGATGGGATGGGATGGGAACAGATGGGATGGGAAGGGATGGGATGGGATGGGATGGGATGGGATGGGAAGGGATGGGATGGGATGGGGACAGGATGGGACAGGATGGGATGGGATGGGATGGGAAGGGATGGGATGGGAAGGGATGGGATGGGATGGGAAGGGAGGAACCCATCAGCGCCGGTCCCATCGGGATGCGGCTCCGGGAGGAACGGGATGGGAGGGGATGGGATGGGAGGGGATGGGATGGGATGGGATGAGATGGGATGGGATGGGATGGGAAGGGAAGGGATGGGATGGGAAGGGAAGGGATGGGATGGGAAGGGATGAGATGGGATGGGATGGGAAGTGATGGGATGGGATGGGAAGGGATGGGATGGGATGGGATGGGATGGGATGGGATGGGATGGAGGGATGGGAAGGGATGGGAAGGGATGAGATGGGAAGGGATGGGATGGGATGGGATGGGATGGGAAGGGATGGGATGGGATGGGATGGGAAGGGATGGAATGGGATGGGATGGGAAGGGATGAGATGGGAAGGGATGAGATGGGAAGGGATGGGATGGGATGGGATGGGATGGGATGGGAAGGGATGGATGGGGAAGGGATGGGATGGGGAAGGATGGGATGAGATGGTATGGGCTGGGATGGCATGGATGGGATGAGATGGGATTGGGATGGGATGGATGGAATTACATGGGATGGGATTGGGATGGGATGGGATGGGAAGGGATGGGATGGATGGGATGGGATGGGATGGGATGGATGGATGGGATGGATGGGATGGATGGGATGGGATGGGATGGGATGGGATGGGATGGGATGGGATGGGATGGGATGGGATGGATGGGATGGGATGGGATGGGATAGGATGGGATGGAATAGGATGGGATAGGATGGGATGGATGAGATGGAACAGGATGGGATGGGATGGGATGGGATGGATGAGATGGAACAAGATGGGATGGGATGGATGAGATGGAATAGGATGGGATGGATGAGACAGAATGGAATGGGATGGGATGGGATGGGATGGGATAGATGGGAATGGGATGGGATGGATCAGATGGGAATGGGATGGGATGGGATGGATCAGATGGGGATGGGATGGGATGGGATGGGATGGGATGGGATGGGATGGGATGGGATGGGATGGGATGGGATGGGATGGGAAGGGATGGGATGGATGGGATGGGATGGGATGGGATGGGATGGATGGGATGGGATGGATGGGATGGGATGGGGTGGATGGGATGAGATGGATGGATGGGATGGGATGGGATGGGATGGATGGGATGGGATGGGATGCGATGGGATGGGATGGATGGGATGGGATGGGATGGGATGGGATGGGATGGGATGAGATGGATGGGATGGGGTGGATGGGATGGGGTGGGAAAGGATGGGATGCATGGGATGGGATGGGATGGGATGGGATGGGATGGGATGGGATGGGATGGGATGGGATGGGATGGGATGGGATGGGATGGGATGGGATGGGATGGGATGGGATGGGAAGGGATGGGATGGGATGGGATGGGATGGGATGGGATGGATGGGATGGGATGGATGGGATGGGATGGGATGGATGGGATGCAACGGGATGGGATGGATGGGATGGGATGCAATGGGATGAGATGGGATGGGATGGATGGGTTGGATGCGATGGACGGGATGGGATGGGATGGATGGGATGGGATGGGATGGGATGGGATGGGATGGGATGGGATGGGATGGGAAGGGAAGGGATGGATGGGATGGGAAGGGATGAGATGGGAAGGGATGGATGGGATGGGAAGGGATGGATAGGGTGGGATGGGATGGATGGGAAGGGATGGATGGGAAGGGATGGGAAGGGATGGGGATGGGATGGGATGGGAAGGGAAGGGAAGGGAAGGGATGGGATGGGAAGGGAAGGGAAGGGAAGGGATGGGGAAAGGATGGGACAGCATCGGATGGGATGGGATGGGAAGGGAAGGGATGGGGGTGGGATGGGAAGGGATGGGATGGGAAGGGATGGATGGGTGGGATGGGATGGGATGGGATGGGATGGGATGGGAAGGGATGGATGGGATGGGATGGGATGGGAAGGGATGAGATGGGAAGGGATGGATGGGATGGGAATAGGGATGGGATGGGATGGGATGGGATGGGATGGGATGGGATGGGATGGGATGGGATGGATGGGATGGGATGGGATGGGATGGGAAGGGATGGGGATGGGATGGGAAGGGATGGGATGGGATGGGGATGGATGGGACAGGATGGGATGGGATGGGATGGGAAGGGAAGGGATGGGATGGGAAGGGAAGGGATGGGATGGGAAGGGATGGGATGGATGGGATGGGATGGGATGGGAAGGGATAAATGGGATAGGATGGATGGGATGAATAGGATGGGATGGGATGGGATGGGATGGATGGGATGGTATGGGATGGGATAGGATGGGATGGGATGGGATGGGATGGGATGGGATGGGATGGAAGGGATGGGATGGGATGGGATGGGGGATGGGATGGGATGGATGGGAAGGGAAGGGATGGGATGGGAAGGGAAGGGATGGGATGGGATGGGATGGGAACAGATGGGATGGGATGGGATGGGATGGGATGGGATGGGAACAGATGGGATGGGATGGGATGGGATGGGATGGGAAGGGAACAGATGGGATGGGATGGAATGGGAAGGGAAGGATGGGATGGGATGGGAAGGGATGGGATGGGGTGGGATGGGATGGGATGGGATGGGAAGGGAAGGGATGGGATGGGATGGGAAGGGAAGGGATGGGAACAGATGGGATGGGATGGGATGGGATGGGATGGGATGGGATGGGAACAGATGGGATGGGATGGGATGGGATGGGATGGGGATGGGAACAGATGGGATGGATGGATGGGAAGGGAAGGATGGGATGGGATGGGAAGGGATGGGATGGGATGGGATGGGATGGGAAGGGAAGGGATGGGATGGGATGGGAACAGATGGGATGGGATGGGATGGGATGGGATGGGATGGGATGGGATGGGAAGGGATGGGATGGGATGGGATGGGAAGGGATGGGATGGGATGGGGACAGGATGGGACAGGATGGGATGGGATGGGATGGGAAGGGAAGGGATGGGATGGGATGGGATGGGATGGGATGGGATGGGATGGAAAGGGATGGGATGGGAAGGGATGGGAAGGGATGAGATGGGATGGGATGGGATGGGATGGGAAGGGATGGGATGGGATGGATGGGATGGATGGGATGGGATGCATGTGATGGGATGGATGGGATGGATGGGACGGGATGCATGTGATGGGATGGATGGGATGGATGTGATGGGATGGATGGGATGGGATGGGAAGGGATGAGATGGGATGGGAAGGGATGAGATGGGAAGGGATGGGATGGGATGGGATGGGAAGGGATGGGATGGGAAGGGATGGGAAGGGATGAGATGGGATGGGATGGGAAGGGATGGGATGGGATGGGAAGGGATGGGATGGGATGGGAAGGGATGGGATGGGATGGGATGGGATGGGAAGGGATGGAAAGGGATGGGATGGGAAGTGATGGGATGGGATGGGAAGGGATGAGATGGGATGGGAAGGGATGAGATGGGAAGGGATGAGATGGGAAGGGATGAGGTGGGATGGGATGGGATGGGATGGGAAGGGAAGGGATGGGATGGGAAGGGATGAGATGGGATGGGATGGGAAGGGATGGGATGGGATGGGATGGGATGAGATGGGAAGGGATGGGATGGGAAGGGATGGAGGTGGAGGTGCAGATGGAGGCGGAGGCTGAGATGGGGATGGAAATGGGGATGGAGCATGGATCCAGGGGATGGGACAGGAAAGGAAGGGAATGACATGGGAGGAATGGGGTTGGGAATAAGAAAGCAACAGGATGTGCTGGGACAAGATGAGTAGGAATTGCGATTGGAGGGCAGGACATGGCGCGGGGATGGGATTGAATGGGATGGGACAGGGTTAGACAGGGTAGGCACAGGATGGGAAGGGGTTAGAGGTGGGATTGGGACGAAGATGGGGATTAGGATAGGATGAAGTGATGGGATGAGGATGGGAGTGGGGATGTGGTGGGATCGGATGGTACAGGATGGGATGGGATGGGATAGGATGGGAACAGGATGGGATGGGATGGGAAGGAAAAGGATGAGATGGGACGGGACGGGATGAGGATGGTGCAGGAGGGGACAGGGTGGGATGGGATGGGATAGGATGGGGATAGGATGGGATGAGATGGGAAGGGAAAGGATGAGATGGGACGGGATGGGATGAGGATGGTGCAGGAAGGGACGGGGTGGGATGGGATTGGGACAAGATGGGGTGGAATGGGAAGGGAAAGGATGAGATGGGACGGGATGGGATGAGGATGGTGCAGGAGGGGATGGGGTGGGATGGGATGGGATAGGATGGGGATAGGAAGGGATGGAATGGGATAGGATGGGAACAGGACGGGATGGGATGGGAAGAGGAAGGATGAGATGGGAAGGGATGGTAGGAGGATGGTGCAAGAGAGGATGGGGTGGGATGGGATGGGATGGGATGGGGACAGGACGGGATGAGATGGGAAGGAAAAGGATGAGATGGGACGGGACGGGATGAGGATGGTGCAGGAGGGGACGGGGTGGGATGGGATGGGATGGGGACAGGATGGGATGAGATGGGAAGGAAAAGGATGAGATGGGACGGGACGGGATGAGGATGGTGCAGGAGGGGACGGGGTGGGGCGGGATGGGATGGGGACAGGACGGGATGAGGTGGGAAGGGAAAGGATGAGATGGGACTGGACGGGATGAGGATGGTGCAGGAGGGGACGGGGTGGGGCGGGATGGGATGGGGACAGGCTGCAGGTGCTCTGCCTCGCAGGTGGCCTATGACACGGGTGACTATTACCACTCCATCGCGTGGCTGGAGGAGGCCGTCGGCCTCTTCCGCCTCTCCTACGGCAGCTGGAACCCCGAGGACCGGAGCAGCCTGGAGGATGCTCTGGACCATCTCGCCTTCTCCTACTTCATGGTACGGCCACGAGCCCCATCCCCATCCCCGTGGTGCCCAATAGAGCCAAGCCGTGGGGTGCTGATGGGCTCTTCACACCCCCAATCCAGGCTGGAAACGTCTCCCATGCCTTGAGCCTCTCCAGGGAGTTTCTCCATTATGGTACGTGCGGCAACCTCAGATGTGGCAAGAGGAGGAGAGAGGTTTTGGGCTGTCCCCATCACCTCTGCAAGGCACCAGCCTCCTTCACCCCATTCTTGTCCCAGTATGGGATCGATGCCAGGGAAGGGAGGTGATGGGGACGCGGCGTTTGGGGTGACTCCTCCTCTCCAACAGACCCCAGTAACCCCAGGGTGTTGAGGAACGTGGTCAAGTACGAGGAGCTGCTGGAGAAGGGGACAGGGACAAGCGCTGAGCCCCTGCGACGTCCCAATGGCACCCACCTACAGAGCCGGGATGCCTACGAGGAGCTGTGCCAGCGCCCACGGGGGCAGGTGGGGATGGCAAAGGGGTCCCATGGTCCCCACCCCACCACTGTCCCCCCTCTCACACCCTCCTTGGTCTCCTCTCTCCCCAGTCAGCCCCGGAGCATCTCCCACACCTCGTCTGCTCCTATGAGACCAATGGCAGCCCCTTCCTCCTGCTCCAGCCTGCCAAGAAGGAGATGGTCCAGACCCAGCCCTACGTGGCTTTGTACCACGATTTCATCAGTGATGCCGAGGCTGAGACCATCAAGAGGTTGGCCGGGCCTTGGGTGAGCTGTCCCCATCCCCAGGGATGGCTTTGACCTCAAGGAGGGTGCCCCAGGAGCTGGTGGTGCAGGGGGTACCAACCTGGGCATGCAGAGACAGGAGGAGGTTAAGCCATGGCTTAGCCAAAGCCTTCAGCAGCCAGCCCAAGGGTGGGATGAGCCCAGTTTGGCTCCTTCTGAGCCTGCCCCAAAGGAGAAACCAGGTCCACGCGTGCACCTAAACCACTTCCCAGCCACGCTTGACGTGGTGGCATCCAACCCTACTGCTGTCACCGCTTCCATCACCCCGGTGGGACACATCGGGGCCGGGACGTGCTGGCAGAAACCCACCAGCTTGACCCCAACCGGGGTCCCTGCTTGGTGGTGGGGTCCCCACCTGCAGCACCATCCCCTCCACCGTGTGCCCCCCAGCTGCAGAGGTCCGTGGTCGCCTCTGGGGAGAAGCAGCAGAAAGCTGAGTACCGGATAAGCAAGAGGTAGGAGCCATCGCATCCCTTGCCCTATGGCCAACGGGACCATCGCGGCCCCATTGCCACCACCAAGGTGACAGTGAAGCCACCCCGGGGAGACCCCTCCACAGCCCACAGCGAGGGTGACAGCAGCCATTGGGTGGGTTGGGTGCTCCTGCAGTGCCTGGCTGAAGGACACGGCCGACCCGGTGGTGCGGGCGCTGGAGCAGCGCATCGGGGCCGTCACCGGCCTGGACCTGAGGCCGCCCTATGCCGAGTACCTGCAGGTGGTCAATTATGGGCTGGGAGGCCACTACGAGCCACACTTCGACCACGCCACGGTCAGGGAGGTGCCTGGGGGCTGCATGGGGTGGTCCACGGGGTGATGCTCTGGGTGGTTCCTGTGGTGCCTTTGGGATGGTCCTTGGGGGGGCTCCTGGGATGGTTCCGTCTTTGGGGTGGTCTGTGGGGTGGCTCCTGTGGTGCTCTTGGGATGGTCCTTGTGGTGCTCCTGGGATGGTTCTTGGGATGATCCATGGGGTGGTCCAGGGGATGCTCCTGGAGGTGGATCCATGGGGGGGTCCCTGGGGTGGCTCCTGTGGTGCTCTTGGGATGGTCCTTAGGGTGCTCCTGGGATGGTTCCGTCTTTGGGGTGGTCCGTGGGGTAGCTGCTGTGGTGCCCTTGGGATGGTCCATGGGATGTTCCTGGAGGTGGATCCATGGGGGGGTCCGTGGGGTAGCTGCTGTGGTGCTCTTGGGATGGTCCATGGGATGTTCCTGGAGGTGGATCCATGGGGGGGGTCCCTGGGGTGGCTCCTGTGGTGATCTTGGAGTGGTCCCTGTGGTGCTCCTGGGATGGTTCTTGGGATGATCCATGGGGTGGTCCAGGGGATGCTCCTGGAGGTGGATCCATGGGGTGGTGCCCCGGGATGGTTCTTGGGATGATCCATGGGGTGGTCCAGGGGATGCTCCTGGAGGTGGATCCATGGGGTGGTCCCTGGGGTGGCTCCTGTGGTGCTCTTGGGATGGTCCTTGTGGTGCTCCTGGGATGGT